ACTTTTTGTTCAGCACAAAAAACTACTCGGTCAAAGTGTTGTCAGTTTTGTAAAATAACCGTCCTATCTCATTCTATAAGGGGAAAAGGCTTTCAAAGTACTTCCTTGGAACGCCTGTAACTTTTCCTGTAGCGACGATAGACCCTTACTTGTCCGGACAAAGCTGTACTATTTTGAGTGCTCTACAAAAAAGTCAACAGCAACGACTCTCAAAACCGTTGTGTAAAAAGTTTTACCGTTGGACAAAAAAGTATATATAGAAAACAAAAAACGTTTATAGTTCATTCAATATTTGAGATGGAACGGTTTGCCAACGGTAACTATTAAATAAAATAAAAAAATAGAGGGGGTTACCGTTGACGAAAACGGTTTATTTTAAACTTTTCTATGAGTAGTCCGAAAAAAACAGTTTATTTTTGTCTAATGGAAGCCAACATTAACAATTCTCAACCGCTAACCAAAGCCAAAGCCCACAACCTCCAAGAACTGGCACAGCTGTTAGAATAACCACCAAAAAGTCTAACAGCGAATTAAGAGAAATTCTTCAACAAATTTGCTCTAAATATCTCAAAGACGCCGAAGAAAACACACAACCAGACGCTACATACAATACTCAGTTCTGTGAAGTTCTGAACAAAGCAATTGCTAGTTCAATTGAACTTACTAAGACAATTCCAAATCCAATTGAGCTTAGCGATGTCTTAGTTCAGTATTTTCCAACATTTACTAAGCTTATAATGTTGAGAACTTTATACCAAGTTCGTCAAAATCTTCCTCGTTACATGCAACGGTCATTCGACAAGAGAATTGCCGAATTCCAAGTCTTTAGTTACGGATATGACGATGATGAATACATTGACGAGTTCGGAGACAACTGTACAAAATGGTTTGAATGCTATACGACCACACAATTTGAATTCGACTTTCTCGAATTCAACGCAGCAACCATTCATATCATTGCTCTTTACCTTTCCGAACACAACAAGACCTCGCAGATGGAGATGTTGTTACTGTCGTCATGGAAACTCCTGAACAATTCGGAAAAAAGAAGTCTCTAATTGCCAAATTCGTTCCAGGACATCAGCTTTTCCAACGCACAGAAGTCTTCTGTATTCCTGGAACTAAGTTCTTTGTCAGGAGCGAACTCAAAGAAAGATATAGTGTGTCATTCAATTACACATTATATAATGTTTTCGACCCAGAAGAAGGCTTCTTCCCAGAAGCAATGGAGGAAGAAGAAGAAGAGGAGGAAATATAAGACTCTATCCAAGAAGAGTCCTCCGAATTCACACCAGAAGATTAACAATTTTCCGAATAAAAACTTAATTTATACTAAATTTCTTATGAGCTAGAAGGGGCGCAGCCCTTGGAAGCCCCACACATACTAAGCAAGACCCAGAGCTTGTAAAAAAAAAATATAAGTAAAATATTAATTTTTTATTCCAATTCTTTCAATTTGTTATATAATTTGTTTCGTTCAGCAGTATAATATAATAAGTCACTGACCAACTGGTCCACTTCTATATGTGACTCTGCCGATGAGACTCTATAGACTGTTTCGTCAATCTTCGAATTGTAATTTGCAATTTGTTGTCTCAAGTACTCCAGAGTCTCCTCCTTCATCTTCTCAAGCACTTCTAACTGCTCTGGTGTTGGTTGGTGCGTAGAAAAGTGCGCAATGACTTCGTCCCAATTACGGAATGACATTCTAATTTTTGTTGGAAAAATTTAGGGGCTAGAGGGCACGAAGTGCCTGGAAGCCCCAATCCTTTTTTTTTTTTTTTTTTTTTTCAATAAGGCTTTTAAATGGATATTTATTGATATGAGCTTATTTCAAAATGACAGTCTTTGATTTATCCACTAATAAGATTTGATGTCACAAAAATCTAGATTTTGGGGCATAAAAACCTAACACCAAATCATAACTTCTGTGCATATACTAAATTGAGTACAGAAATATGTTAATTTTCAGTATTTTTAGAAGAATTCTTATTATCCTTCAAAAAGTCAGTATTTCTGCTGTAATTTTCTACAACATTGTAGTTATTGCACTTTGTCTATGGATTTGTATATATGTTATATATAAATTATATATCTAAACTGCCCATAAGTGCAATTTTTATATAAATTGTTTATTTCTTTAACAATTTCATATGAAATATGCTTTTTTAAGCGTATCAAAGCTGTGTTCTTAATGTGCATGGATATATCAAGAAAAATGTCGAAAAAAAAAGTGAATTCACAAATTCACTGAATTTTCACCGTTTTTTGAATTTTGCTACAGCACTAATATTAAATAATACTAAAATCTTCTGTCTTTGTAAAAGAATAAATTCTGACAAAAAGTGCTCGTTTAAATTTAATGATCATCTGTATGACTAAGTGGTAAAAAGTGTTTATGACCAAAAAAGGGTTACATGCTTAGTCTATTTTTCTGACAGGATACTCTAGATTTACATGATCTCTATTTCATATCTCCGTTTTTAGATTCTTCGACAGATTTTATGATAGAAAACCAAGATTAACAAATTTCCGGCATGTTAATGAAGAAATCTGCAGCTACCCTCAATATTATTTCAATAATCAGTATCATTTCTCTTACAATTTATTTTTTTCTCAATAATTTAACAAGAAATAACAATACACACTTGGTTTTACGTATAAAAGCTAAGTGTCGAACTTAATCAACTTTACTTACTTAGCAAATGAATATTTTTGTGGTTGCGAGTTCTGAATGCTGAAGTTTTAGATTTCTCTATAAATGATATCATTGCACTTACAATGTTGTTCCAGCCTATCGCATAAATCATAGAAAATCCAAAAAAAATAATATAAAGAAAATTCATGTCATGAAGTTCAAAAAATACCGTGTAACATTAAAATTTGTTATGCATAATACATTTTAGCTATTATTGATTTTTTTTAATTTTCGAGAAATTGAATGGTGAGTCCGATAGAGAAATTTTTAAAAATCCTAGTGCCTCATAGAAGTAATTTCCCTCGTCTCCCATACTTCCAAATGTATGCATATGACATAAACTTTTATGCATTACACAAGTGGCCAATAATATCTATAGAGTAAAAAATTAGAAATTTAATTTTTTTATATGATAGTTATATTTCAGATTTGCGAGCGTAACTTTTTTCTCCATGGCATACTTGTTTTAAGAGCAAATGATCAAAATCGTCCTTCAATTATTGAAGGAGCTGATATCTTTTGAAAATTGAATTGAAAGGGTATTCAATTTTCAAATTTCCTCTCAATTTTGGAAACATATCAACTCTATGAATTAACAATTATGTGCCTTCACAGTTTATCAGTCATATAAGGTGCTTATAAAGAAAAAAGTTACGCTCGCAAAATATGTTTTTATATAGATTTCACATAAAATAATTATGTAATTTCTAAAAAGAATATTTTTGTTCTTGAATATTAAAGTGTATTGTAGTTTAAAAAGTTTTAAATATGTTGCTAAAATTTCAGGTTTATAGCTTATGTCTAGCATGACTTCTTCGTATGCGCAAAAAAAATCATTCTGAAAGCTACTTCTGTATAGTGCATTGAGCTTATACAGATGACTTTCTTAATGACAGGCTAATGTCTCCCTCAGACTTAGCCGTAGATACAAGAGGGGATTTATCTTAGAGTTTTTTTTTGTTTTGTTTTGTTTTGTTTTGTTTTTTGTTTTTGTTTTGTTTTTGTTTTTGTTTTGTTTTTGTTTTCGTGGCACCACAAAGACTTTCTTGCTAGTCTCAAGTACAATCTTTTGAATTTGAAGATTTGAAAATCTTATTTTTGCTTTGGGTAAAAACAATTAATAGATTCATAATCTCTGATAATTAAGAATACTGTTTATAATAAAATTATAAGCTAATTCTGCCATGGTCTGCCTACTTCATTGTCATTGTTTAAAACTAAGTTTCAAATTTCTCAAGCTTGAATTCTGGGCACTCATGTGCCCAGAATTCAAAAAGCGCATAGTGCTGATGTTCAATTCACATTCATCATAATTATTATTTTCTAAATATTGAATGGTTATTACAAGCTGCTGCATTACGCCAATTTATTTAACTTCTAGATTCATAAAACTTAAATGAGATAACATTACAGTCTTGTCAAAAAAATCTTGATTAATACAAGTATCTAGATGAAAATTCTATTTTCATCGGCTTTTCCATTGTTACTGTATCACTTCATATTCATAAACTTAATCAAATTTCATAAATTATATCCGAAATCTTTATGGCCATTGTTTTCTACATCTATAACTTAGTATTTTCTTCTTTTAATGAATTTAAGGGGTAATTCATATGGTAAAACACAAATATGTCTTTTTTAAAAATTATTAATGTCCGAGCAAGACGTTCATCCAAGCAAATACAACAAATTGCGAAGTATCTGCAAATACTATATTGATTCATATCTTGCATTGTATCAGCTAAAAACTGAAAAAGAAGAAGAATTAAAGTCAATTTACAAAATGATCAAAACAGAATTGATTGATTCAAAGAAATATCTTCCCACAAATGCTATTAAAGACATTTTAGATATCATTCCATATAATAATCGCTATACAAAGTCATATTTATTTCTTGCCAAACTCATATCTGATGATTACCATATCACATATGTAAACAAAGTTCAACCTATTTCAAACTTCCTGTTTTATAAAGAATATGGAATTAAATTATACAAATCTGATGATTTTGAAAAAGTTAACTCAGAAAATCTGGAGATTCATACAGAAAATACAATTTACGGGGCCATTATGTATAATGACCTAGAAACATTCATCACATTCACTGAACAAGAAGGATTTAATAAAGATCAAACACTTATATGCGAATTATATCCATTATCTTTTATAGGACATACATTACTTGAATTATGTTGTTACCATGGAGCAGTTGATTGTTTCAAGTTCTTACGAACAAAATTTAACTCACAAATAACTCAAAAATGTCTTAAATTTTCATTTTTAGGTGGAAATCCCGAGATCATGAGTGAATGTTTGAAATATCAAAAACCAAATGAAAAATGCATGGAATATGCAATTATTTCACACAACATTGATTTTGTTACATTCTTGATGAATGAGTACAATATGGAAATCGATTTAGATTATTGCGGATGGTATAATAATCTTGAATCCTTTTTAGTTTATTTCGATCAAACTAATGATATGAACGAATGTTTCATTTATTCAGCGATGTTTGATACCCCATCCTTACTCGAATACTTCCTTTCACATGGTGCGAATATCAATGAAAAAGATAATAATGGAAAAACCGCATTTTATTTTGCAGCAAAACATAATAGTAAAGAAACTGCAGAATTTCTTATTTCACATGGTGCGAATATCAATGAAAAAGATATTTTGGGAGAAACCACACTTCATATTGCAGCAAAACATAATAGTAAAGCAACTGCAGAATTTCTTATTTCACATGGTGCTAATGTCAATGAGAAAGATAATAATGGACAAACCGCACTTCATATTGCAGTAAAAAATAATTATATAGAAACTGCAGAATTTCTTATTTCTCATGGTGCGAATATCAATGAAAAAGATAATAATGGACAAACCGCAATTCATATTGCAGCAGAAAATAATAGTAAAGAAACTGCAGAATTTCTTATTTCACATGGTGCGAATATCAATGAAAAAGATATTTTGGGAGAAACCACACTTCATATTGCAGCAAAACATAATAGTAAAGCAACTGCAGAATTTCTTATTTCACATGGTGCTAATGTCAATGAGAAAGATAATAATGGACAAACCGCACTTCATATTGCAGTATGGCATTCCAAACGGGAACCGCGGTTGGTTACCATGGATTTCCGTCACCGGTCACATTTTAAAGATTTTTAAAGCCTTATAAAAATATGCTTTGTAAATCATTTTTTGTAAATCGGCAAAAATTTGGTAATTTTCTTCAACTAATAAATCTGCGAATAGCATTTATAATACAAGAACAATCTTTTAAAATGCGTTTGATTCATTTTTGTATAATTTCATATAGGCACATATATTCTTCCGGGACTTTCCGTGATTTTACCGTAAAATCATTAGTTTACACCAATTTTCCGTATTTTGAATAGTTTACTGCACTTTTTCCGTAAAATTGAGTTACGGGAATCCGCAAAATTTCCGGACCTCATTTTTCATAGAATATAATAATAATATTTGATAAAAAGATATATTATTTATATTTTTGATTTTTGAATTACGGAAAAAGTGAATTGTTAACTTGATTTTTTATATGGTTAATTTTTCAAATGATATTATGAAGATCTAAAATATTAAAAGTAAAAAATTGAATTACGGAAAAAGTGAGGTCAAAAGTGAAATAAATTTGCAGAACAATTTTCATTGAAATAAGACATTGAGTATCACACTTTAGTGAATCAACATCTATAAGAATGAAGTGTTTTGAAGCTGAAATAATATTGAATAGAAATTAATTTTTTCTGAAATTTTGAATGAAATTATGGGAAATAAAAAATTACTAAATATTGTATTCATACAAATATATTATTTTAAAGGAAAAATAGATGCTGATAGAAACGATGAAAAATTTGAAAACTTTACAATTAATTTATGTTCGTTAACCACAGAGCTTGCAATCCAAAGCTCACGTTAGACTACAAGAGTCATGAAGTCTCATACTAAGGGATATCCAACATATATTTTAATAATCTAATGTTTGTGACAAATATTCAACATAAAATTAAGTTTTCGTTTCGTTACAAGGCATTCATACTTTGGAGATATCATATTTAATGTACAGAAAAGTTAATATTAAACAATACATGCTAAAGAATTAATAAATAAGATAATAAAATAAATTTATACGTAATTACTTTCATTTAATATGCTTTATGCTGTATAATATTGATTAAGAGGCATTAAAAGGTTCCATAGTCTGCTTTTATAGGCAAGATTTTTGATAAAAATTTAAAATTTTGAAAAATGATGAGAAAAGGAAAAAAAAGGTAAATGAGAGCAAGAGGAGGGAAAAAAAGAAAAAGAAAAGAAAGGGAAGGGAAAAATAAAAGAAAGAAGGACATATAAAAATTTAGATGCGCATTCTTAATGCCGAGGCGGCTTGCCGCCGAGGCGCGATTTTTTTAGGCCTCTACGGTAACCCGGCAATGTTTTTTTAAATCTTGTACAGCCCTATATTGCAGTAAAAAATAATTATATAGAAACTGCAGAATTTCTTATTTCTCATGGTGCGAATATCAATGAAAAAAATGAAGATGGACAAACCGCAATTCATATTGCAGCAGAAAATAATAGTAAAGAAACTGCAGAATTTCTTATTTCACATGGTGCGAATATCAATGAAAAAGATATTTTGGGAGAAACCACACTTCATATTGCAGCAAAACATAATAGTAAAGCAACTGCAGAATTTCTTATTTCACATGGTGCTAATGTCAATGAGAAAGATAATAATGGACAAACCGCACTTCATATTGCAGTAAAAAATAATTATATAGAAACTGCAGAATTTCTTATTTCTCATGGTGCGAATATCAATGAAAAAAATGAAGATGGACAAACCGCAATTCATATTGCAGCATTGAAAAATAACTATATGGCTACTGCAGAATTTCTTATTTCAGATGGTGCGAATATCAATGAAAAAGATAATAATGGACAAACCGCAATTCATATTGCAGCAGAAAATAATAGTAAAGAAACTGCAGAATTTCTTATTTCACATGGTGCGAATATCAATGAAAAAGATATTTTGGGAGAAACCACACTTCATATTGCAGCAAAACATAATAGTAAAGCAACTGCAGAATTTCTTATTTCACATGGTGCTAATGTCAATGAGAAAGATAATAATGGACAAACCGCACTTCATATTGCAGCATTTCATAATAGTAATCTCGTAAACGAAAAAGGGGATTTGACTCCGTCAAATCCCCGCTCACAAAAAGTGGACTTTACATGTCAAATTTTATATGCATGTAATGTCCACTTTTATGAGTTTTAGGAAGGAATTGGAAGCCATGAGTTACTGACATTGCATCAGTATCTCATAGCCTCCAATTCCTTCAAAAAATGGGAGAAACTTTGTCCGAATAGTTTAACATTCGGACAAAGTTTCTCCCATTTTAAGAAGGAATTGGAGGGTAAGAGATATACCATATGAATGTATATCTCTTACCCTCCAATTCCTTCTAGAAAGTGTCCAAACTTTGGGTTAATTGCAAACTATTAACCCAAAGTTTGGACACTTTCAAGTGGAGATGGAAGGCTTTGGGGTATATATTAATACAATATACCTCAAAGCCTTCCATCTCCACTACAAATGGGAGAAACTTTGTCCGAATAGTTTAACATTCGGACAAAGTTTCTCCCATCTTTCAATGTAATTGCTACCTGTGAGGTACTGACTTGAAGTCAGTGCTTCACAGGTAGCAATATCCAAAAATTTAAAAACATTTTATCAGTTCGTTAGAGAACTAGAGCCTCCTAGGTACTGAACCAGAATCAGTGCCTAGGGGACTCTAGTGATCTATATAAATCTGAGAAACTTTGAGGAAATTGTTCGACATTTCCTCAAAGTTTCTCAGCAATTTAGCGAGGAATGTTCGTTATCGTGTAGATATTTATAATATATACATGATAACAAACATTCCCCGCTAAAAGATGTAAAATCTTATAAGAAATAATTGCAAAAGAATAACAAATTGCAACAAATTTTATATGAAACTGAACCTTATGAGGTAGTGATTCAAGATCACCGCCTCATAAGATTCAGTTTCAATCTCAAGTATCTCAAAAGTAAGGCTCTATTTTTTGCCATGTAAAGTATCACTTTACTGTCAAACTGTTTTTATCGTTTTCGTTTACAACAGTAAAGAAACTGTCGAACTTCTTATTTCACATGGTGCAAATATCAATGAAAAAGATGAGTATGGAAAAACTGCTCTTCATAATGCAGCTAACAATTATAGTACAGAAACTGCAGAAGTTCTCATTTCACATGGTGCGAATATCAATGAGAAAGATAATAATGGACAAACCGCAATTCATATTGCAGCAGAAAATAATAGTAAAGCAACTGCAGAATTTCTTATTTCACATGGTGCGAATATCAATGAGAAAGATAATAATGGACAAACCGCACTTCATATTGCAGCAAAACATAATAGTAAAGCAACTGCAGAAGTTCTTATTTCACATGGTGCAAATATCAATGAGAAAGATGAAGATGGACAAACCGCACTTCATTATGCAGCAGAAAATAATAGTAAAGCAACTGCAGAATTTCTTGTTTCACATGGTGCGAAAAAATAATGTTCTTACATAAGATATTCTTTAGTTTTCTGGTATTTTCGAAGAAGATTTTCTGATTGATAGTAAAATAATTGTTTTTATCCATTTTTTGCACTTGAGTTTGTTAGATGTGATGAGTTATATTATATTTATCCTCGTGAAGTTGCACATGAATTCACTGAATACAGTCTTCCAAAAATGCACTACATGGTTAGTAAGAGATTCAATCTGGATAGTATTACGCCAACGAAATACAATGTGTTGAACAAAAAGCCGACCAAAGTCGACATTTCACAAAATTTGTTAAGCTTCAGATAGAATTGAACTCAAAATACAAGCATATTCAATGGAATATCATTGAAATGTGCAAGTAATTTGCTGAAACAATATTTTTGATTGCCAGTTGAGAATCAATAGTTCATCATGCTCTATTTATGAGAGAAATGCATTCCAGTAGTATTTTTGCGGATCTTGTTATTTTGTTTTTGTTTTTTGCTCTTGGATATGATTTCTTAACGATAGTAATTGTTTGGCCCGATCGTAGACCTCAAATTTTTAAAGTGTACTCACATGAGGACTCTGAAACAAGATATGTATGTAATTTATTTTAGTAATACATGGATATTTTTAATTCAAAAACTTGATGAATCCAAAAAGAATCACCAGTAGTATATGATGCGGGTTGTGTGACTTTTTTTGTAATCGTAAGAATTCTCACATAATTGAATGATTTTTGAACATACTTCCGAATAGCAGATTTTAAAAATTTATGAATAATTTATAAAAAGTTTTTATTCCTACAATTCCTATATTACCATTAATAAAAAGAATATATTTTTGACGAAGTGAAGATTCGCACTTCGTCACAAAACTCCGAAAAAATAAAGTTAGATTTTTTTATTTTATAATAAATGAGTATAACAACTAATTCATTGAAATCTTTAAAGTTCACTAATTCAGAATTAGAAAATATTTTAGAAAATTTTGGAGACGGTTCTTATCCAACATATATGCAGAATGTGAAAGAGTTTTCCAGATTGTTGAATGAATTTAAATATAACGGACCAATTACTAAAAAGGCTATAATGAGATATTTATATCCCAAAAAAGTTGAAAAACAGGAGAATATTCCTCTTTATGGTCCAGAGGACCTGGGCTCAGAGAGCCTTGAAACACCTCCTGAATATTTTGAAGAAAAAATTAAACAAGATGAATATTATAACGATGAGATTGAGAAATTGGAACAATTAAGAAATGAAATAGATGAAAGAATTAGTGAATTGAGAAATGCTGAGAATGAAGTAGAGGGTTTAATGAATATCCCAGCTTCAGAATCAGAAGTTCAAAAATCACATGAGGAAAGATATAAAAATTACTTTTTGGAATCTACTAAAAATTTATTAGATGGTGATATTGACGAAACACTTTCAGAAGAAGGCACAAAATTTATTCATAAACATAAGTTACATTTATTGACGATGGAGATTATCCATGTATATTACTTTCACCTCCTCTTGATTCTGAAAAATTCAAAAAAGCACTGAAAAATGTAACATATGCAACAAATACGATTAAGAAAGAAGACCATGATATTTACACAAATTATTATTTAAATAAATGTACAGGTGTTGATAAAGTTTTTGATTTGTTAGATAAAATATCAAAAGAAACAATTGGAACCTATAAAATTTTATGCGATTGTGGTTTCATTATTGAAGATACCAATAATGTTTCATATGAAAGAACAGCACCGAAGGAAGACGAAGTTGAAAGGTCTATACCATTCGTTATTAAGAACATAAAAGATATGAAAACTTATAAACATTATATTTATTCATTTATTTCAGAAAAAATGGAAGCAACCCATAAAACATCTTCTCATCATTTTATAGCTATTCATACATTCCTTTTCAAAGTTGTGAAATTAAATAAGACAGGAATTAGATTTAATGTATCAGGGTACGCATTCTTGAGTAAATTAAAATGTATTCGTCACGTCGCAGATGATAAAAATTTATGTGTTCTTAATTCATTTTATGGACTTTAGCCCTGGACTCTCTGAGTCTCAGACTTTAAAAAAATAAACTTTATTTTTATTTTTTTAATTTTTATTCTTACATAAATGAACAAAAATGGAACAGCTAAAATGAATGATAATCAAATAAGAGCCGAAGGTAGAAGGTTATTTAAACGCTTCTATAACATTCCTGATGGTGTTAATCCTAAAACTCGTAGAAGTTATTTAAATGAAGCCATAGATGCATATGAAGGATTTGACATTTCATCAGAAAGTGAGAGGTTAGCAAGAATGTTAAACGTTAATATTGATTTTTATTATTGTGACCCTCAACCAGAAGACGTAGACATTAACAAGGTAGACTTTCCATTAGTGGAATCAATAATGATAGATCCAGAATTTGAAACAGTAAATATTTTATTAACACAGAGTCCATGTGGAAAACTTCACGCTGACAGAATTACAGACGTTGAAGCACTCACAGGATATAAAGTTTGCCCCTTTTGCAAAGAAGAAGTATATTCTATCCGTGATGATCCAGAAAGGAAAAACCAAAGAAGATTTTTAAAACATTGTGAGAAATGTAAAGAAAATAATGGAAGATTAATTCAAGACGTTCAATTGCAAAACACACAACAACCATATGCACCACATATCACGAAACAGAAGATATATCAATGGCTATTAGCACATAATTTGCAGGAATATTATAAACCAACAAGATATTATATTACTTTTGACTTCGAAACATTAGAGACTAAAGAAGAACTTCAACTTTCTGAATGTGCAACTTTGAACGCTTACTTAAAACCATTTATGGTATCATCAACTGTCAAAATAAAGCCGCAAAGCGGCGAGGTCGTAGACCGTGATAAAACATTTACGAGGAATTTTTGCTTAACATCAAGTGATTCGTTCATCTCTGATTGGATTGAATTTTTATTTTCAACCTGTTCATTAGTTGCTAAATCAAATATTGAACAATATGAAGAATTAATGAATACATTAAATGAGAAACAAAAGGAAGCAATGAAAGAGCTTTTAGATGAAGAATTTAATAAAGTGAATATCATTGGTTTTAATTCGGGAAAGTTTGATTTAAATTTAATTCTTCGTGATTTAAATACTGCAAAATGGAAGATAAAATCAATGCTGGGTTCTTCTTCTCAATTTAAGCAAGTCATGTAAAGAAAACAAACTGTCCATATGAATTAAGATTTATTGACATCAGAAATTATATAGCGGGTGGAACATTAGACCAATTCACTCAAGATTTCGGAAACAATAAATCACGTGTTAAATCCTTTTTCCCTTATCAATTCATCACATGGGAGAATTACGAAGAGAATTATATAAAGGAACCATTCACTCAAGATTCATTTTATTCAGCATTAACACAAGAAACAATATCCGATTCAGATTATCAAATATATCTCAATGATGCTAAAAATTTTAAGAATAGATTAGAATATTTTATTCATTATTGCAATAAAGACGTTGAAATTATGATTGACCCAATTGATAAAATTATGAAGAAACATTTGTTTATAAAATTGACATGCTTCATAATCTTTCTTTATCATCGAATGCATCAATGATTCGTTACGCGTTAGCATATAAGAACTTCAATCCTAACGAAACATATCCAGAAGAAGAAAATGTGGAATCAAGTTTTGAATTAACAAAAAAGTATTGGAAATATAAAATTGAATCATATAAGAAACAAGATGAAAAGGCGAAAAGAGATACAAAAACAATGTTTCAATGGATGACTATCAATACTATCACGATTTAATCCTTTCATCTAAATGCAAAATGTGTGGTAAAGCGTTTACATATGCAAATAAACCAACATTGGATAGAATCGATAATGAAAAACCACATACCAAAGAAAATTGTCAGTTAATGTGTTGTTATTGCAATGTCGTAAAATCAAATAAAGATGAAGATGTTCAACGTTTAAGAATCAATTTAAGAAATTATGCATTAAAAAATAATTTACCAATGACTTTAGATTCAGTTGAAGCTTATCACATTCTCCGTAATGGAATTACTGGTGGTCTATCAAATGTTCAACATCGTGTTAATCTTAAAGGAATCACGCACATTAATAAACTTTCATATAATCCAGAAACTAAAACTGTATCAAATGAGGACACCACCAACATTATGACTCATTTCGTTGGAGTTGACTTTAATTCATTATATCCTTCATCATTTTCATCTAATCCTCATGATTTCATTCAATATACTGACCATAAAATGTATATGCCGGGAAGATTGAATGGTGTTATCATTTGTGATACAGCAACAAAGAAAGCAAAAGCACTGGGAATAATTAAGAAGAAAAATACTTTATTCGTGGCTGAAGTAAAGGGTCACATTGATGAAAAATACATTAATGATTACATAAACTTTTTACCGATAATAAGAAACTTAGATATTATCACAGATGAAAAAACAATTGGCAGTTTTATGTATAATTACATGAAATCAAACAATCTACCAGTTGACCAGAAACAGAGAAAATTAACTCAGTTAGCATCAACACACAACCAATATCAACCATTTTCTTCTTATTATCTTTGGTATCTAATAGACAGATTTCATTTTATCATTGATGACATTCAATCAATTTTAACATTTACTAAAAACACTTGTTTTAATGAATTTGCGAAAGAATTTATGAACGAAAGACAAAAGGCTGAATTAGAAGGAAATAAAGGAAAAAGTTTATTTTGCAAGATTTCACTTAATGGATCATATGGTTACGATGCAATGAATACACAAAATTACAAAGACTAAAATAATGAATGCACAGAAGGCACGCGTTGCATGTATGTCAAATAAGTTTAAAAACATAAGAGAAATAGGTGAGGATACATATCAAGTGATGCTTAAAGATAGATTTTATAGATGTGATACATGTTTACAAGAGGCATTCTTCACTTTAGATAACGCAAAATACTGGTATTTGGTTTTCATTTATGATTTTATGTATAAATGCATGAATGTTAATCGTTTTCATTTCATTGAAGGTGATACTGATTCATCTTATTGGGCAATCGCTGGCGACCCAAATCTTCCTAACACTCAAGCATTTCAAGCAATTGTTACTGATAAACAATTTTATGATAAAAACATTTTCAAATTCGCACCATTTGATTTCTTCTGTTTTGATGAGAAATTTAAACCTAAATTAAAGAATAAAGCTGAAGAAAAAGCACATGAGAAGAAGTTATTGGGTTTAGCAATTGAGAAACAAGGTGATAACATGGTTGCTTTATGTCCTAAGTGTTATACATCATTCAACGGTTCAATTGATGGAAGTGATTTTAAAAAGATTGCACAAAAAATGAAAGGTGTTAGTTTACGACAAAATAAACAATTAACACCTAAAAATTATTTGGATATAATAAATGATAAATTGATATTTGATGGTCAGAATATTAATTTACAACTTAAAAATGGGTCAATGACTCGCTTAACAATTGGTAAGACTGCATTAACAGGAGCACACACTAAGGCTGTATGTTGTGAAAATGGATGTTGTATGCCATTTATTTAATAAAATACCACAGAAGAGACAAAAGGAACCGTTAATGATGTGTTTTGATACTATGATTCAAAGAGGTGGGCACCCTTAAAACATTGATTTTATTTTTATATAAATGGATAACACAGATTTAAAAAATTTAATTGCTGATTTAGTACTTAATCAAAATTTTCTTGATTATTATGATTTAAAAGCATATCTCCAAAAATATGATAACAATATAACGGGTGATGATATGGAATATTATTATCCATATTATAAAAATGAAATTTTGAAATATCATAATAAAATAATTTCTGAAATTAAAGACAAAATTAAAAATAATGAATATTCAAAGGGAAAAACTAAATCACAACTTAAACAGTTGAAAGATTTCAAAAATAAAGTATTAACAGAAGAAGATATTGATGAATTATATAAATTATATAATCCTGAGCCCAAAAACCAAAGAGGAAAACAAAAACAAAAGGAACAAAACACCCAGGTCCTTCAGACCATAAATGATGCACAAGCTTTAATTTATGATTCATTAGTTAAACCATATTCAGCCCGACTTTTAAATGAAGATCAACTTTTGGAATTCATCCTTCAACATAAACTCGAAGCGGGAAAGTATATCAAACCTTTATATACAGCATATTTAAAACAAATGAATAGAATACATCCAGAATTAATGAAGGAAGGAATGAAATCCAAAATCAAAGCAGATAAAATTAAACCACTTGCAACACCAAAACCTCCAACGACAGTACCTCCTCCTCCTTCAGTTAATCCTTCATCATTCACTTTATTATATCCATTTCAAACATTAAAGAAGCAAAAAGATTTTAAAAAGGATTTCAAGATATTAAATAAACCAATTGACCCGAAAATTCAACCGTTAAAGGAAAAATTTAGTCGACCTTCATTTGCTCCATATCCATATTCATACGAAATCGATCATCTGGAATATTCAAAAGGAAAAGTTACTTATTTATTTGCCATTAACATTAACACTAGATATTTATATTGCATTCCGGTGAAAGGGAAAACAGAACAGGAAACAAGAAGAGCTATTCAATACTTACTAGATCATGAAAGAGTAGATAATATCAGGGGTGATGGCGATAAAGGATTTCAGGCAGCTATGGCTCATTATTTCCCACAAATTAATTTTTTCTTTTCATCCTCTCCATATACGTTTCATAATAAAATAGTTGATGCGGTAATGAGAACTCTTAGAGATGCGTTAGGGGTTAACGGTCAGATATACTGGGATGGAAATCATGACTCCATCATACAACAGTTAGTATATTATTACAATAATACATGGCATAGAACTATAAACATGAAACCAGTGGAAATGAAAAATGATATTTCAAAAGAATGGGAATATATTAGAAAGCAAATGGAAAGGTTGAATGATGTTAAACGTGAACAAATTAATTCGGGGCTCATGAATTTTAAACAAGGGGATAAAGTTTTGATTCATCTCGATTATGGAAAAACTGATAAATCAATGACAAAAAGAAGACGAAGATTTGACACAATAGCTGAATTTGTTAGATATATTAACGGCAATGCATTAGTTGAAGTTGACAATAAATTAATAGAAATTCCGATTTATTTTATTACTCCATTATATTTAAATAATATTTAATTTTTTTTATTTCGTAAGAAATGAGTGACAACAAAGCAGTCAAGAGTCCAGACGATGAATATAAAAAGAAACTAAACAGAATTAAATCAAAAATATGCTATTACAAAAAGAAGCCGCAATGCGGTGGGGTTGAAAACGATAAAGAGCGGAAAGAAATAATCGAAAAATTAGAAACTTACCGTTCAATCCTTAAACTGAGTGAAGCAAAAATAAAAGAATTTAATAGAATAAATAAATTGATTGGAAGAGATGAATTTAATAAAGATGAATTTTTAAACTCAATCCAAATTTAATTTTTATTCCTCTTCGACAACGTCTCTCTTTCCATCATTACTGCATAACCACATTTTCTCAGTTTTAGTGGTTTGTTATTTTTAGCAAGTTCTCGCATCATTTTTATCGTTTCCTCCCTTGTTATGATTCGTGGTAAATTTTGAGCTTGTGGGGTATCCATTTATGATAAAAATAAAAATTTGTTATCACATTTTATCGTTAATGGTTTCAGGTTATTCAATAATTAATTATTTTTGAATAACTGAAGGTGTCACTACGTCACCATGTGTCACTCGGTTATTTAACTTCTCTGAAAAAATGAGACAACATGACATTTTGACAACATCACAGGAGGAAGGCAGTTATGAATTATTTTTGAAGAACTGAAGGTGTCACCACGTCACCATGTCACCAGGTTAATTAACTTCTCTGAAAAAATGAGACAACATGACATTTTGACAACATTTACGAAAATTTGATGCAGTCCAAAAATAAAGTTAGTTTTAAAATTATTTTTATTTTTTTATTCCTATATAAATGACAGCAACAAACAACAACAACAACTATATCGTTTCTGATGAACAAGTTATTGATTCATTAGCTGAGGAATTAGTTGTGGCAGAAACTAAAACCCTCAACGAAAGAATTGGTGAAAACAAGATTGATTTACATAACTACCTCAAACATGATGGAGGAAGAGGAAGGAAAACTGGTACAGCTTTATTAGTAAATAAAATTTCAAATTTAACGATTATAGATGTTGATATCAATAAATCATACAATGATGAACTTAAAGAAACAGTTGGAAAAGACATTTTATCAAAACTTTCGGATAAAGATGTTATCGTTAAAACCGCTTCAGGAGGTCTTCACATTTATTGCAACACTAATTTCTTCTATTCAGTTTCGAACAGAATGATTAAATGTTATTCCTGCAATGATTATGATATTGACATAATGACTTCTATTGATGATTCAAAGCGTTCATTAGTGGTTATGGCTGAATCAAGAGTTCGCAAGAATGCAACAGAACCAATCAATACATACTCATTCATTCGTGGAAGTTATGATTCAACATTAACCAGAACAGTGAATGATATATTAAATGATTTGAATATTAAGGTAAGAGTTGAACAGAAGAACGAAGAAATAAAGACTATCATGAATGAAAACAAAGATGTAAACATTGACGATAAACTTGCCCAGAGCATAGTTGATGGCATCTGTGATTTTGAAGTACATAATGACGGTGGAAACATGAATTTAGAAAAAGAAGTTACATTATTCACACTGTTTCAAGCAATTAATTCGTTACCTAATCATTTAATTAATGAAGCATACGAGAATGTTTATAACTTCTGCAGTTTAACAGAAAATGCAAAAAGTAATTTTGAAAAAGCACGTAGTAGATATGCACATTTAATGACTTCTCCATTTGTTTTAGTGAAGATTCTAAAACTTTATCAAAAGGAATATTATGATGAATATGTTTTACCTTTATTACGTAAGCCAAAAATAACATTTGATATCAAACTTGATGACTCGTTTTTGATAACAGATATTAGACGCAGGGCTGAAAATCATCAGTATAAAAACAGTTCTGAAGTAATTGAGGATTTATCACGTGTAATCCGTTTTGTAGATTGTGGAAATAAATATTTCATTCAAAAGGACTATAATATCCACGACAAAATGAATCAAATATCATTCGTTCTTCAATCAAACATGAAAGAGTCACTCAAAATGATTAAATTATTTAAAGAAGAAGGTAAAACCATAACAGCATGGGACGTACTATTAAATCAATTATCCTCATTAACCGTTAAGGGTGTTTGCTTTAAATCTGATTCTCCAGATGTTTTCTCAACGTTTCAGGGTTATAAATACAACATTCTTGAAAAGCCTGATTACTCAAAAATTGAGATGTTTATGAATTTCATTAAAGAAGCCATTTGTGATAATAACGATGAAGTGTATAAATACCTTCTCGGCTGGATTGCATCAATGATTCAACATCCTGGAATCAAGAATGAAACAGCAATTATTTTGAAAGGACTTCAGGGAACAGGTAAAAACAGATTCACAGACATTATTTCTGAACTTCTCGCTGGTTATTCATGTAAAAACATTACTGAAATAAGTGAGCTAACGGGTAATTTCAACTCAGTAGTTGAGAATAAAATGTTTCTTGTACTTAATGAACTCAAGAATGTAGGTGAAGACAGACTCGCAAACTTCAACGCTTTGAAATCAATTATTACGGATAATGAGATTAGAATTAATGAAAAGAATCAACCCAGAAGAACTGCTCAGAATGTTGCAAACTTCATTTTCGTAACTAACAACGTCTACCCTGTCAAAATTGAAGTTGGAGACAGAAGATACGTAGTTTTAAGAGTTAATGGTAAATTCAAGGGTCAATTTGATTACTTCAAGAATTTGATGGATTCATGCACAAAGGAATTTTATGATAACCTTTTAACATATTTTATGCAATATGACCTTTCATCATTTAATGTACGAATCATACCGATGACTGAAGCCAAACAAGATTTAATTGAATTATCAACAAATCCTTTAGATGAATGGATAAATACACATTATGATGAATTGAGTGCGGGTATGATGTGTAAAAATGCTCTATTCTGCAAACCATCAGACATGAAAGACAAGAATTTCCAAATGAGCATTAAGGATAAATGTGATAGGAAACAGAGAAGAATAGATGGTAAACAGACGTGGTGTTATGTTTTGAAAGAAGAAATGAAAGGATTATATAAACAGGTTGAACCAAACGATAATGAGGATTCATTTACTGACGATGAAATACCTGTAAATGAGGCAGTATAAAGTATGATTTGAATTTATTTTTGCATTCAACCCAGGAATGTTGTCAAAATGTCATGTTGTCACACTTTTTCAGAGAAGTTAAATGACCTGGTGACACATGGTGACCTGGTGACACCTTCAGTTCTTCAAAAATAAGTCATTATTGAATAACCCGTGTTGTTGTCAAAATGTCATGAGTTAAATGACCTGGTGACCTGGTGACACCCTCAGTTCTTCAAAAATAAGTCATTATTGAATAACCCGTGTTGTTGTCAAAATGTCATGTTGTCACACTTTTTCAGAGAAGTTAAATGACCTGGTGACACATGGTGACCTGGTGACACCTTCAGTTCTTCAAAAATAAGTCATTATTGAATAACCTGAAACCATTAACATAAACATTAACGTAAACATTAACGTAAACATTAACGTAAACATTAACGTAAACATTTATTTCTGCAGTTCATCCATTACTTCATTACCTAATTAATTACAGACATAAAATATATTTAGTTCATTCATTGAACTCTATACCATGCGTAAACTGTCATGTAAGGTGGCATGTATTCTTTACTTTGTCCCGTTGTTTGTGTATATCCTGAAACGTGATGTGTATGGTTTCCTTCTCCCTGAGTGTCACTCCAGTAACAATTTATGGCAAACTTAACGTCGTCTTTAACATCATATCCTTTACCTTTTGTCATTCCTGACCAATCCCAATATCTATGCTTATGCCAACCTGCTTGAGATGTACTTAAATCTATGTAGTGACTGTGTGCAGGTAAATTTTCACCTGAAATCGTTTTACTTCCCCCTGTTTCCTTTGAAGAGTTTGCACAATACAAAAACCTGTCGACTATTTGTTCCCATGCACCAACACCAAACATTACTTGAGGACCTCTTGCATCCATAGATGTATAAATAGAACCTACTGGGTTCATTAAATCAAACATATGAGATAATATAGGATTGTCTCTTTTGAACTTAAAATATAGTGTAACTATTTCAGGTTTCTTCTGGTTTGTGTCAGAATATTTTTTATAATATAATCTTATGTTTTCAGGGTAGGTAAAATCTTGACTATAATATTTATTTCTGTCATCTGTATAATAATATACTATTCTCGTTTTTTCTATTGCATTATATCTTTTATATCTATAATAATCTAAATATAATGTTAGCTTTTGTTCATCTACATGTGGTGTTCTGTCGTCATCTCCATAGTCATAATAATATGGTGCTGGAGCTGGGTCAGCCAACGTCATACCTGCCATTTCATAAACTCTTAAATATTTCTTTTGTTCGTCTCCATATATGTTTAAGTAGCAGTTGTTGTCTAATGGAACTTTAACTTGTGTTCCATCATTCTTTTTATAGCTTACATACATTTCATTGTTATTTTTCGGAATGAGTTTACATCGTATACCATTTTTAAGGAGTGTACAAACTGCCATCTAAAATATTTATTTTCTTCATTGACAGAAAAGTCACCAACAATAGTTTCAATATTTTTAGTTGTTCCTATCAAACTTTGGTATATTTCATCCACATAAGTTTTATCTGCCTTCTTATTTAACTCACTATCAACATATTCCTTATCTGCCTTCTTATTTAACTCACTATCAACATATTCCTTATCTGCCTTCTTATTTAACTCATCATTAACATATTCCTTATCCGCTTTCTTCTCTAACTCATCGTTAACATATGTTTTATCCGCTTTAAGGTCTAAACATCCTGAAACCCATCCTGTATCAGCTTTAGTTTTTAAAATCTTTGATGTCCATTCATGATACCATTCAACCATTTCTTTAATTTCTTTATCTTTTTCATCAACGTAAACCAAATTTGCCTTCTTATTTAATTCACTAGCCACATATTCCTTATCCACCTTCTTCTCTAACTCATCGTTAACATATGTTTTATCCGCTTTAAGGTCTAAACATCCTGAAACCCATCCTGTATCAGCTTTAGTTTTTAAAATCTTTGATGTCCATTCATGATACCATTCAACCATTTCTTTAATTTCTTTATCTTTTTCATCCACATATTCCTTATCTGCTTTCTTCATTATGTCATTTAGGAAACCTTTTATGAATTCCTCATTTAAATTAAATCTTCCAATCTTCAAAACTTTAGGAAATGCATTTAATGCGTAATATCTCTGTTCTTCTGGTGGAATTGATGTTATATCATCCGTTATTCCTTTAATTTTTGAATTCATAAATAAAATTTCTTTTATATTTGATATCACTGCACCACCCTTGCAAACGAATTCGAAATGGTCATTTTTCAATACTATCTCCAAATCTCCATATTTCAACCTTTGCGTTTGTTCTGCCGTCTTTGAATTATATGCATATATGGCGTATGTAATGGTCTGAGGGACCTGGGTGCTTTGTGCCTTAAGTTGTTGTGGTTGCTGTTGTTTAATCATTTATTATGATTTAAAAATAAATATTTAATCTGTTATCTCATCAGCTATTTTTTCTATTTGAAATTGCCATAATATTTCATTCATAAATTCTAAATCACAATCAAATAGGTCAGTTATTCTAAATTTAATATTTGATAAATCTTTTGAATGAAGAATAAATGAATTCCCGGATAATTGAAACGGATATGATAAAGAAAATGTGTTTAAGTTGATGGATAAAATGTTTTGTATTGATGGGTAAGAGTTAGGGTCTAATGTTTGATGTGAAAATCTCATTGGGGTATTAACTTTATCACATTTGATTAAAATGAAATTGGAACCAGTGTCAGAATACAAAACATCCCCAACATTTTTCAAAATTTAATATCCCCAACAATGAACGAAGATGAGGAGTACAAAATTTAATTTTCAGCGGAAATTTAATAAGGTTATTTATTTCATCAAGTTCAAAAAGTTTATCAGGTTTTGATTTAAAATTTTCTTCATACCATACGATAAATGATTCATTTAAATAACTTAAAATCATGTTAATATCCCATTTCGCTATCACATTATTTATATACATATCATACGTTTTTTCAAGGTCATCTTTAATAAATGATATATAATCTGAAGGGTCTAAAAGAATGGGATTAAATTTACCACTCACAGAAACGAGAGTAACATTATAAATTCCGCTAACTGTTAAATTTAATTCACAGCTATTATTCGAAATAATATTGATAATTGACATTTTTATTACGATTAAAAATATGGTAAAGCGTTATTTTCCAGTGATAAATAAAACTAGAATAAGATTACCTCAAGAATTCATAAATTCAACGAATAAGAAATTCATTCATGTTATAAATTTTAGTGTTTTCAGAAAATATGAGTCAATGTCATATTCATCAACAGGTTATATTTCACTTCATTCAAATTTAGTTCAATCAAACCCATATAATGACCATTTCATAAGATTTTCAGATGGTATTAAAAATGTAATTGATAGATTAAAATATGAACAGATTGACAATATCGAATTTTTGGAATTTTGGTTTAAATATCCCGATGGAAAAAAGATTGAAGTTAAAGATAAAGCTGATACTATAACAAAAACAATTACAATGACCGATCCAGATAGTGGGGAACAAAAAGAAATAAAACAAACGATAGAAACTGGTGAAAGGTCAATTATTATTGATTATGATTCAAAGGATTATTATTCGATAATGTTAATGCTTGAATATTAAATAGCCTTAACAAAGAATTTTTCAAGTGATATTTTATATTCATCAACTATTTTATTATAAATTATTATAGTTAAATAGTTCAGTTGTTGTTCCGTTCTTTGATATCTTAATTGTGCTAATATCCTTTATAGGATTTATTTTTGCAACTGTTCCGCAGCATGAAACCTCATCATCTATGAAAAATTGAATCTTAACGTCTGAATCTTGAACATCACAAAGAATGGCGATAATGTGAATTAATGATTCATAAGGTAAAATAATTAAACCGGATTGGTCAATTAAATTTATTATTGAATCATAATTATTAATTATTATATCACGGTAAATTTTCATTAATTCAGAATTAATGTCTATTTTATATGGCGCATTGCGACTGGAATCGTAGATTCCCGGGTTCTCGATGTTTGATGAAAGAGGTGGGGGTATGTTGGATAAGTGGGAATTTCAACAGGTTCTTTACCAGGTTCAGATAAAATGATTGGGTCTCCATCTTCTTTATTTTGCTCCTCCTCATTCTTCGGTAAGTCACGAGTTAATAAATTTGGTTGAGTTGCTGACCTTGTTAATTCAGGCTAACATTAACTTTAACATTTTGAATAATTCGTGATTTATCATCATTTACGTTATAACCAACCGTAATCTCTGCTTTTGCGTTTGTGTTCTTTTGACTTGTGAAACGTCTTCTCATTTATAATTGAATAAAAAAAAGAAAAATATATTTAAAGTTTTATTTAGTTGTTACGGTAATATCCCAAGGTTCATCCTTGTTTGCTTATACTTTCTTTGTAACTGCACCAATTATGTTATTGATATTGATTTGAGTTTCTTCCAGTCTTATTTTATCATTTACAATATCTTTAATCATTTCATTACATGCATTCTTAAAACCATCTGATTTTTCTAATTTACGTCTATCACTTTCTTTAATTAAATCAAAGTTATAACCTTGTTGAGAATAAAGTGGTTTCTTTATCAATTCCTTGAACGCTTCTGAAAGTGAAGATGAAGAAATTCTTGCCACTTGAATTGGTTTAAATTCTGCTTTCATTGCTTCTTTCTGTTCATTGAACACTGGATCGAATAAAGCAACTTTAAAGAATTTCTTAGCTGGAATTTCAGGTCTCAAATTTGCATATTGACCATCAAACTGATTAACATATTGAGGTAATCCATCCGGTCCTCTTCAATAGCATTTAATTCTTCATTGAAATAAGAATATGGATTATGACGGTATGAATTAATTGGACCATTTTCACCTTCTCCATATGTTGTTTAACAGCTTTTCCATTTTCATCAAATTCATAGGATAACGTTCATTATATGCTTTACGTTTAGGATAATCCGTCATTGTTAATTTATACCATTTATGACTTTAATATTCCTTGACCATCAGTAACAAAACTTCATTTATACCATCAGGTTTTCCATTTTCCTGTAATGTCTGCTTCATGTGCTTCCCAATTTGGTCCATGACGTTTGGCATATGCTTGAGCTTCTGGTAATGTTAAAACGTTTCTCATTTGTTTAACATCCTTTTGAAGACCGGCAACAATGTGGACTAATTCTTTTCAATTCCCTCAGGAACTTTCAATAGTTCTATTATATGCACCCTTTTTGTTTGTCCCTTGTTTTAATGGAACCTGTAGAAGATTTGCTATTTCTGTCATGTTTAATTATAAATAAAAAATAAAAATTAATTATAAAAAGTTAATCAAATTTAACAACCTTTATTTAAATCAACTATTATTTTTCCATGTTCTCCTAATTGTTGATATTGTGTGTAAAGTTCATTAATGCTCATTGGTAAATTCACTTGATAAAGCATAACGTTCAACTGTTGACGACTAAAACCACTGAAAATGAAAAGGGTGGACAGGTTTGATTTAATGTTTGTGCTTAATGCTTTAAAGTATTGAACAGCCATAAAGAATGAAACATGAATATGTCGACATTGAGTTAATAATTGATTAAAATATGATTTCTCATTAGTTATTAGTTTTGATTTCACGCATCATCTAGAAAAATGAGTGAATGCAAAAATTCTTATCAAAATTTGAAATAGAAAGTGTTTCAAATAATTCATCCCTTGTTTATCAATAATTTTATCCTCTAATCCTTGCTTCTTGATTGTATTATATAATTCTTTATACATTAAAAAGTTTTTTAAATAATCTTCTGCTTCTTCTTGTGATAAATAAATAATTGGAATTTTGATTAAATGCTTTAAAGATTCAAATGTATCATCTGAAGGTGAACCTGAACGGTTGATATAAATTAACACATGTGAATAGGGGGAAGTGTTAGCAATAATGATAATTTGTTTTAATATCGTTAATGTTTTACCTTTATTTTGTTTACCAATTGCTGCAGTGATTGAATTTAAATAACATTCAGAATATGGAATTTTCATTAATTTTTCCTTAGATAGAGCATTTCTATTATCACTCAATGCTTCATTAATCATATCATCTATGTAGTATTATATACTCTGTTAATTCTTCATAATTGAAATCCATTTAATCAAAAATAAATTTATAATTTTAAACATTTCTATTCATCAATATTTCATCATATAACTTCTATACTGTGGTGGTGTACCTGTTGGATGATATTTCAAACCTTCATCCGGTGTCCATGTCCAATATGTAGTCCTAGTAAACCAAACCTGAGGAGGATTTGTCACCTTTGAACAGTAAGTGTCATTTTCACCCTGAATGATTGGATAAGCTTTCACTTGTACTGTAACTTGTGATTGAAAGTTTCTAATCCATCAAAGAATATACCCGCTCCATCACGTTGAACTGGAATAGTGCATAAGAATGAAGTTTGGTCTTTCCATGTTCTAGCTAATGGCGTGCCATTATCATCATTCAGTGGTCTAGTTAATGAGTCCTCGTATTCTTCGTGCATTCATTCACTCCATCTAAATCAGAAGCTTGAAGCATACGTGTAAAGAATATGTCGCCCACTGTGGTCATCGCTTGATCGGGGAAGTTTCTGGAATCTATAGTGACCTGAAGACCTCGAAGCATTGGATTTTCTAAAACGTTCTTTGCATTGCATTCTTCGGAAATGTTAACACAACATCTGTAACATTATGAAGAGCGTATGAGAAATCTGAGCTAATACCTTCAGGAGTGATGCAACCTCCATTTAGTGAACGAACGTCAATATGTTGAGCTGGAATCATGAATGGATCTTCCTTACTGAATAAACGTGGTATTGCTTTAACTGATTCTTCAATTAAACCGTATCCTGGTGTAATGCATTTATCCTCTAAAACTTCCATCTTTGTGCATGAAATAATAACGTCATCAACTGTTGCGTCAGCAGATGTAGCGGCTAAGCTTGTAATTAATTTGGCAGGAAGTCCGATTTGTTGGAATTTGCGATCATATTTATAAACATGATTCATAATCTTTTCATAATTTTCATCAGTTATCTTTTCATAAACGTAATTTTGTAAATCAGCAACTCTTAACGGGTCAACCTGACAAAATACTAAAGTATCCCTGAAAACATAATATTTAAGAATGATTTCACCAAATGATTTAGGATAATCATCGAACGCCTGAAATGCTAACAAATCATTTACCGGAATAATCATATCAAAAGTGACATCAACTTCTTCATTTGCTTTCTTGAAAACTTCTGAAGGGTCAATATATTTACCACATACTGAGTTATCATATTTTTGAACATTATTATATAACGAATGAACAAACTTTTTAACTTTCCTTTCTGATTTTGGTTTATATGTTGCAAATGCGAAAGATTCACGGGCGCAATCCATCTGAAGATAACCGGCATCACCTCTTTCGGTTTCTACTTCTAATTGTTTAAAGCTTTGATTTGATGATTTGTAACCAACGAATAAACGCATGCATTTAAAAGCGGCATCACATGTGAAAGCTTTATTTGAAACTAGAGTTGCTTTAACTTTGCGTTTAATATATGTGTCACCTAATTGGTTCACATCATGAGCCGGATTTGTAATTCTTAAATGAGTTTGTTTATCATCAAAATATGGAGCATCAGAGTCATAGCATGAACTTTCAAGTTCTCTATAATATCTTCTACCATCATTCTTTGCGAATATTTCATTTATCTTTTCGAATGAATGAAACACATTTCCATTAATCGGTTTAGTGTTTGGCACCAAATAGTTAGTCGTCATTTATTAATAAATAAAAAATCAAAATTAAAAGATGAAAATGAATTTTTAATTTTAATGAAATAATCAACTATGGCTGCAGGATTCTTTAAAAATTATGGGATAAAGTAAAAAGAGGAGCGCATAAAGTTTGGGAAACAATGAAGAAAGGAGCAAATTGGATATTTAAGAATAAAGAAGCAATTAGTGACGTTGCTGAATCAATAACGCCAAAAGCTGCCCCAATAAGAGAAATATTAAATAAAGGAGAAAAAGTTTATCAAAGACTTCAACCGATACTAAGATAAAAATAATATTTATTTTTCCACTATCTACCCCCTATTTTATTAAGTATTCCTTCAGCAATTCCACCAACTGCGTTACCTGCTTGTGCTCCCATCACCGGATTACCTGCTTTAGTACCTAATACTCCACCTATGATAGTTCCTGCCGTTTTCGCTACTGGTGCCAAAAAGTTTGCAACGGGTTTAATAATCTTTTATGAACCCAACCCGCAGCTTTCTTAATTCCATCCCATAATTTTTTAAAGAATCCTGCCGCCATTTCTGATTTAATATTAATTAAAAAATATATTTCATCACTTATATTCTAATTTTTATTTAATGATAAATGAAACCAATTTTAAAAATAAATGAAACAGAGGAGGAAGAAATTAATGAAAGTAAAGATGATAAACAAAAAATAAACATTATTAAACCAATTACTGAAACAAAAATTTTTTCATCTGTTGAAGAATTTAATGACTATTATGTTAATAATAAAAAATTATTTGAAGAATTGACAACGTGTAAATTGAATAAAATGTTTAAAGTTGATGGATTCAAAATTTCAAAAATAAAAGGAGTGGTTAGTTTGAAATCTATTCCTCAATCAAGAATCACCTCATTAATGAAAATAGATGATTTAACAAAAAGAATAGAAATTATTGAAGAGCGAATAAATCAAATTATTGATTTCATAAATCATGACTCGTTGAGCCCGGGTCCTTAAAGCCCATCACTGAGTTCAAGGTTATATTCATCAAATATTTCATTATTAAATGCAACTTCTGCTAGTTTATTTATTTTTTCAATACGATCATTTGAAAGTCTATCGTTTAATTTTTTCTGAAGTTTTTCATTTTCTAGTTCTGAAACTTTATTTGGATGATATGTAAATTCATGAAATTCTTTGGCCTCGGTTTTGATCATTAATTTACAAAGAACTTTTGTGGTTGGAATTCGTTTGAACCATTTATTAGTTATATTCGTTATATATTCAATATCTGGAATTAATTCCCAAATTTTTGCATTTTCAATTAATTTATTATCAAATGCAAAAGCAATGGGTTTAATATTATGTTTACCTTTATAATATAAACTTTCTACATAATCATCGAAATAAACATCTACTTGTTTAACATTTTCAAGAATTGGTGAAAGAGCATCCATTAATTGATTGACGGTTACGAATCTTGATCCACTCATTTTCTTACGAATTAAAAAAATAAATTATTCAAAAATGTCAGAAGAAAATATTTAAATAAATTATTTAAATTTTTTTACTCTATTCAAGAATTTTATTTTTGATATAACTCATTGAATTCAAAATTTTTTAAAAAATTGACACCATATATAACCAGTAGAAATTCTGCCAGTAGAAGTTCTACCAGTAGAAACTTTACTAGTAGAAGTTCTGCCAGTATAAACTCTACCAGTAGAAGTTCTGCCAGTATAAACTCTACCAGTAGAAGTTCTGCCAGTATAAACTCTACCAGTAGAAGTTCTGCTAAAGTATTCAATTTTGAGGGAAACAGTAGAAGTTCTGCCAGTATAAACTCTACCAGTAGAAGTTCTGCCAGTAGAAGTTCTGCCAGTATAAACTCTACCAGTAGAAGTTCTGCCAGTATAAACTCTACCAGTAGAAGTTCTGCTAAAGTATTCAATTTTGAGGGAAACAGTAGAAGTTCTGCCAGTATAAACTCTACCAGTAGAAGTTCTGCCAGTAGAAGTTCTGCCAGTATAAACTCTACCAGTAGAAGTTCTGCCAGTATAAACTCTACCAGTAGAAGTTCTGCTAAAGTATTCATAAACACCTTTTTATATCTTATTTACATCTAACATGCACCAATTTATTTTATAACTTTATTAATACTAAATTTTATTTCATACAAAAAGTAAAAATTCATAAGTTATATATTAATTTAATAAATTATATTATCATTTATAATAAAATTTTTCGAAATGCAGATAAATTTTAACATGTTCGAAATGAAACTATTATAAAATATATTCTTTTTATTAATGGTAATATAGGAATTGTAGGAATAAAAACTTTTTATAAATTATTCATAAATTTTTAAAATCTGCTATTCGGAAGTATGTTCAAAAATCATTCAATTATGTGAGAATTCTTACGATTACAAAAAAAGTCACACAACCCGCATCATATACTACTATCACCAAATATTAAGTAAAATTATATAAAATATTGATATTGAGATAGTAGATTAATCTCAAAATTCTTGTAATATATGAGATTATTTGAAAGATGAGAGTTCTGTCATTCGACTTTCCATTATGACTTGTGATAACTGTTCGTATTGATCTTCTATTTCATCTGTTTCAGCAGCACGCTTTCTTAAGCGAATTAACTTCTCTTTGAGTTTTGCGTTTTCTGCTTTGAGTTCACGAATATTTGCTTGAAGTTCCGCGTCAACTTGTTCGAAGCGAATTATAGCTCTCTTAGTACGATATAACTTTCCTTTTGGTTGGCCTTGCTTAATGAGATAAGGGTCTTTATAACGAGCCCCAGGAATTGGAGAACTCATTTTTAGAGGGAAAAAAAATGAGATTCTGATATCTCAATCAAATTTTCATAAAATCAGTGTGTATTATTCTACATCATAAAATTTCTTTTTTTTCAAAATGTACGTTTAGAGATTTCAATTTTTTTTTCCTCATTCTAGTGCTCTCTTGTATCATAAAAAGTAATTTTATACATAAAATGCGTTGGTTGTTTCTTATCTTTCTTCAAAAAAAAAATAAACCTGTTTTTCTGCGTAATGTCTCAATTACGTACTCCTCTCCTCAATGTTGAATAAAGCTCTTTCAAAAGACTTGAAAAAGAAACCTGAGGAATTAACATTAGTTTGATTCCTGAGATAGATTTCTAATGGTATCTGAAATGTAAAACAAAACATATATTATCCGAAAATGGTAAACTTATTATTTGGTCGCCCAAATTTTTCGAAAGGAGAAAAAAAAATTTTCCAGATTGGTCAATTCATTTTTTATGGCAAAAGAACTTCGTGACGGAGAACTTGATAAAATTGTCAAAACTACAACAGACAAACTTGTTTGTGTTGATTTTGGAAATCCTACATGCCCACCGTGTATTCGTGCAAAGCCAATTTGGAATTCAATGGCATCAAAGTACCCAACATGTGCATTTTATTCAGTAGAATGCCAGTCTTGCCCAGGTACAGCATCAGATTACCAAATTCATGCAACGCCAACCTTTGTTTTCATTTTAAGAGGAAGAGAAGTAGGTCGAGTTCAAGGTTTCGATCAAAATCAGATTGTTTCGATAATCGAGAAGTACAAACCAGCCGGAACATTCTCTGGAAAGGGCCATACTCTTGGAGATTCGCCTGCTCCAAATCAAGACGATTATTTAGCAAGAGTTCTTGCACAAGCACAAGAAGCTGCTATGGCCAGAAACAAGCCTAAGCAACAAGCCCCTGAACAGTCATGCTGCGAAGGCGGAATTTGCAAGATTCCTCCAAAGAATAACAAACATGATGAGGAATTAAAGCAAATGCTTAAGGAGATGGACTTTCCAGATTACATTTGCGATGCAGCCATCAAAGGTACAAACCATGGATCAATAGATGATTGCGTTGCTTGGATTGCTGAAAATCAAGATGAAGTTGAGAGACTTCAATCGGTCAACAAGGTCCAACAAGACTCTGTTCCTGTTAAGGGTGATGCCCCCGCTACACCAGCTCCTGCCGAAACCCCTGCTCCAGCTCCAGAGCCAATTTCCCAGCCAGAAGAGAAAATTGTCCTCTCAGCCGCCGGAGAATCGATGAAGAATGACCTCGTTGATATGGGAATTGAAGAAGATCTCGCAATTAAGGCTATTGATTATTGCGATGCAGAATCCATCGACAAAGCACTCGATTACATCTACAAAGTACAGAATGGTGAACAAATACCACCAAAGAAGAAGCAAATGACCCAAGAACAGGCCAAAGCCTTTGTTGAACAGATGAGATTGAAAGCAAAGGCCGCTGAAGAGGCCAAGAACACTCCAGAGGCCCGCGCGAAGGCAGAGATCGAGCGCAGAAAGCAACTCAAGGAAGATGCAGAGCGCCATGAAATAATGGAACAACAGAAGCGCGAAAAGGAGCGCAGACAGATAGAACAACAACGTATTCAAGATAAACTCGAGTTAGAACGCGTAAAAGCTAGAATTCGAGCACAAAGAGCCGAACAAGCCGGAAATACTCAACAACAAGCAACTGTTCAGCCTGTTCAACAAACACATGTATCAACAAAGGCTCCAGCTACAGAAGCAACAATACAATTCGTTTTACCTGATAATACAAAGAAAGTCATCAAATTCCCACTTGATGCAACGATTTCTGATGTCGAAAAGAAGGTAAAGAGCGAAATACCACAACTTGCTTCTAGAATTATTCAGTTTGAAACAGTTATTCCTCGAATTTTGATTCCAAAGTCGGATTACGGAAAGACATTGACAGATTTGCACCTCACTCCACGCTCTCAGCTTTGTGTTAAGTACTAAAACTATATCATCCTTACTGTTTTTAAAAAATTAAATTTTTATTAATTTTTTTTCTTTTTTTAAATAATCAAATTGTAATTAATGTCATTTATTTGCCCATTATATGTCATAACTCATATATTGCGAATGGCTGAGATGATTTGTGGAATAATTAGAATTTCATAAGAATGATTAATATTGTTTTTATAAAAAAATGAGTATGTGGCAAGTGTGATATAAGTTTGCCCATTAGAAATGATAATATCAAAATTAATATCTTTAAAGTTATTTAGTATTATTCTTTCTATGTTGCAACACTATGGAAAGTAAGGAGTTCTGAGTTCTTTTATCATAGGATTGTTTTGCTGCATAATAAAGAGGTGTTTTACCAAATATATCTTCTTCGTTGATATCTGCACCATGTGAGATAAGAAGTTCTGCAATTTCCTTGAAATTTCTTTTTGCAGCTAAATGAAGAGCAGTTCTAAAATCGTCATCTTTAGCATCAATGTGAGCACCATGAGAAATAAGAAGTTCGACTATTTCTTTACTATTATTTTTTGCTGCTAAATGAAGAGCAGTTCTGGAATATCCGTTCCATGCATTGATATCTGCACCATGTAAAATAAGAAATTCGGCAATTTCTTTGAAATTCCTCTCGACTGCAAAATGAAGAGGTGTTCCAATAAAATGCACATCTGCACCATGAGAAATAAGAAGTTCAACTATTTCTTTACTATTATTTTTTACTGCATATTGAAGAGGTGTTTTATTCTTTCTATCTACATAATTAATATATGTTCCATGTAAAATTAGAAGTTTGACTATTTCTATGCTATCAATTTTTGTAGCATAATGAAGAGGTTTTCTAATAATTTCATCTACAGCATTGACATCTGCTCCATGTGAAATAAGGAGTTCAACTATTTCTTTATTATTATTTTTTGCTGCATAATGAAGAGGTGTTCTAGACCACCTACCTTCTTTATTGATATCTGCTCCATGTGAAATAAGAAGCTCAGCAATATCTTTGGAATTTCTCTTTGCAGCATAATGAAGTGGAGCAAAAGAATATTCATCGATAATATTTATATAACTGTGTATTGTTTTTTCTTCATTGTTGTTGTCAGTATCATAAACATAAATTTTATTAACTGAGTCAAGTAATAATTTGCAAATATCTGAATCTTGTGATTTGCATGCAAAATGTAATATAGGGTGGCAGGAAACCCCCATAGCATCTCAATACCTACTTGGGTTATCTCAAATCTGATACTATATTTAGAAAACACGTCAATAATAGCCTATTATATTTTTAATCATGAGTCTCCAATCCTTGATTTGAGCGAGTTATTAAAGTTCTTTTCGCCATGTATTTTGAAGAAAAAGTGTCACCTTTTCTTATGATGATTTGAAATCTAGCTGTGCTTTATGTGATCACAATCAATCCAACTTTGTATGATAAAAAGAAAATATACGAGTTTATTTAATATGTTATATAGCAAACACATTGTTATTTCTTGTGGTTGATGTAAACAATTTTGTTTAAAACGTCATAAAATGCCATTTTTTGAGTGCGGGGATAATTGATAAAATAAAGTTTTCAGAATTACTGATAATTATTAATAAAAAACCTATCAAAGAATTATGAAATACATAATTTTTTATTATTATGTTTTAACTCATTTGGTTGTTACAACCATTGGTTATGGTGATAAGCGAATCGGAATTCGAAGTGAACTTTTTTGTCAAAATTACCCGAATAAACTTGGATGCTAAAAAATATCTGAATAGATGAGATAGAACAAAATCTAATACAGAATTATTTATATTATCAATCATCTTTTATATCATATTTATTAAATATCCAGAAGAATATCCCAATAACAAACTGAGATTCAAATATGGTTTTCAGATTCAATTTTTTTGAAAAAAATAATTTTTTTCGTTCCTGAAGATACAAATTTCATCTTTTCGATCTCATTCAAATCTTTTAATCAAAGTTACACAACTATAAGTTACCTAATTTAACAAAGGTTTATAAATATGAAACCAGAATGTAGCTATCTCCTTTTGATCCCTAGATGCTACGGGGGTTTCCTGCCACCCTATATATTCCTACCATGGAAATCAATTTTGTCAGGAATTTTATTGCTTTTTATAATATCTATTGTTTGAGGAAATGCAGCACACCAAGGAAAAATACAGTTCTTCTCTCTCTCGAATAGAAGAAATACAGCATTCAGGTTTTGATATGTGATAACATCCTCATAAACTGCCTTATATTTACGCCGTTCGTATATATCTTTATTATGAACCCATTCTTCAACATCGAAATCTTTATAAGTGAATATATTTCTTTCTAAAACGTACTCGAGCATTTCATTATTATGTGTTCTAACAATATCTCTGAGGCACTTAATGTCCATTTCGTTATCTTTCAAACATTCATTGATGATATCAGAATTTCGTCCTATTATTGAGTAGCGAAGACATTCTTTTGTTTTTTTACAATATTGATTTGAAGTTAAGAAATAGAAAATGTTAATAGATCCAAAATATGCGCAAGCTTCAATTAATGATAGCTTTAAAAATGGGCAATAATTATAAACTTTCTCTTTTTCAAATTTCTCCAAATCAGGAATTTCAAGAAAAATTTGATCATTGTCTATTCTTGTTTGAGAAATGTATTCCTTGAACTTATCAATTTGATCGTGCATAACAATAAATTCAAAGTAGTATATGAATGCGGGTTGTGTGACTTTTTTTGTAAACGTAAGAATTCATACAATATTGAACGATTTTGTATCATTTTTTTTAACATATGAAGTAAAAAATGTATGATTCTTACGGTTTTTATTCTTACGTTTTGAAATAAATCAAGATTTAAAAAATTGACTTCTTACGTAAAATTAAAACTAAGTTAAATTTATTTTTTTATTTAATGATAAATGAGTATAACAACTAATTCATTGAAATCTTTAAAGTTCACTAATTCAGAATTAGAAAATATTTTAGAAAATTTTGGAGACGGTTCTTATCCAACATATATGCAGAATGTGAAAGAGTTTTCCAGATTGTTGAATGAATTTAAATATAACGGACCAATTACTAAAAAGGCTATAATGAGATATTTATATCCCAAAAAAGTTGAAAAACAGGAGAATATTCCTCTTTATGGTCCAGAGGACCTGGGCTCAGAGAGCCTTGAAACACCTCCTGAATATTTTGAAGAAAAAATTAAACAAGATGAATATTATAACGATGAGATTGAGAAATTGGAACAATTAAGAAATGAAATAGATGATAAAATTAAGGAATTGAGAAATGCTGAGAATGAAGTAGAGGGTTTAATGAATATCCCAGCTTCAGAATCAGAAGTTCAAAAATCACATGAGGAAAGATATAAAAATTACTTTTTGGAATCTACTAAAAATTTATTAGATGGTGATATTGACGAAACACTTTCAGAAGAAGGCACAAAATTTATTCATAAACATAAGTTACAATTTATTGACGATGGAGATTATCCATGTATATTACTTTCACCTCCTCTTGATTCCGAAAAATTCAAAAAAGCACTGAAAAATGTAACATATGCAACAAATACGATTAAGAAAGAAGACCATGATATTTACACAAATTATTATTTAAATAAATGTACATGTGTTGATAAAGTTTTTGATTTGTTAGATAAAATATCAAAAGAAACAATTGGAACCTATAAAATTTTATGCGATTGTGGTTTCATTATTGAAGATACCAATAATGTTTCATATGAAAGAACAGCACCGAAGGAAGACGAAGTGGAAAGGTCTATACCATTCGTTATTAAGAACATAAAAGATATGAAAACTTATAAACATTATATTTATTCATTTATTTCAGAAAAAATGGAAGCAACCCATAAAACATCATCTCATCATTTTATAGCTATTCATACATTCCTTTTCAAAGTTGTGAAATTAAATAAGACAGGAATTAGATTTAATGTATCAGGGTACGCATTCTTGAGTAAATTAAAATGTATTCGTCACGTCGCAGATGATAAAAATTTATGTGTTCTTAATTCATTTTATGGACTTTATTTTTATTTATTTTTTAATTTTTATTCTTACATAAATGAACAAAAATGGAACAGCTAAAATGAATGATAATCAAATAAGAGCCGAAGGTAGAAGGTTATTTAAACGCTTCTATAACATTCCTGATGGTGTTAATCCTAAAACTCGTAGAAGTTATTTAAATGAAGCCATAGATGCATATGAAGGATTTGACATTTCATCAGAAAGTGAGAGGTTAGCAAGAATGTTAAATGTTAATATTGATTTCTATTATTGTGACCCTCAACCAGAAGACGTAGACATTAACAAGGTAGACTTTCCATTAGTGGAATCAATAATGATAGATCCAGAATTTGAAACAGTAAATATTTTATTAACACAGAGTCCATGTGGAAAACTTCACGCTGACAGAATAACAGACGTTGAAGCACTCACAGGATATAAAGTTTGCCCCTTTTGCAAAGAAGAAGTATATTCTATCCGTGATGATCCAGAAAGGAAAAACCAAAGAAGATTTTTAAAACATTGTGAGAAATGTAAAGAAAATAATGGAAGATTAATTCAAGACGTTCAATTGCAAAACACACAACAACCATATGCACCACATATACGAAACAGAAGATATATCATGGCTATTAGCTCATAATTTGCAGGAATATTATAAACCAACAAGATATTATATTACTTTTGACTTCGAAACATTAGAGACTAAAGAAGAATTACAACTTTCTGAGTGTGCAACTTTAAACGCTTACTTAAAACCATTCATGGTATCATCAACGGTTAAATTAAACGATAAAACATATACGAGGAATTTTTGCTTAACTTCGAGTGATTCTTTTATTTCTGATTGGATTGAGTTTTTATTTTCAACCTGTTCATTAGTTGCTAAATCAAATATTGAACAATATGAAGAATTAATGAATACATTAAATGAGAAACAAAAGGAAGCAATGAAAGAGCTTTTAGATGAAGAATTTAATAAAGTGAATATCATTAGGTTTTAATTCGGGAAAGTTTGATTTAAATTTAATTCTTCGTGATTTAAATACTGCAAAATGGAAGATAAAATCAATGCTGGGTTCTTCTTCTCAATTTAAGCAAGTCATAGTAAAGAAAACAAACTGTCCATATGAATTAAGATTTATTGACATCAGAAATTATATAGCGGGTGGAACATTAGACCAATTCACTCAAGATTTCGGAAACAATAAATCACGTGTTAAATCCTTTTTCCCTTATCAATTCATCACATGGGAGAATTACGAAGATGAATTTATAAAAAGGAACCATTCACTCAAGATTCATTTTATTCAGCATTAACACAAGAAACAATATCCGATTCAGATTATCAAATATATCTCAATGATGCTAAAAACTTTAAGAATAGATTAGAATATTTTATTCATTATTGCAATAAAGATGTTGAAATTATGATTGACCCAATTGATAAAATTATCGAAGAAACATTTGTTTATAAAATTGACATGCTTCATAATCTTTCTTTATCATCGAATGCATCAATGATTCGTTACGCGTTAGCATATAAGAACTTCAATCCTAACGAAACATATCCAGAAGAAGAAAATGTGGAATCAAGTTTTGAATTAACAAAAAAGTATTGGAAATATAAAATTGAATCATATAAGAAACAAGATGAAAAAGCAGAAAGGGATACTAAAAACAATGTTTCAATGGATGACTATCAATACTATCACGATTTAATCCTTTCATCTAAATGCAAAATGTGTGGTAAAGCGTTTACATATGCAAATAAACCAACATTGGATAGAATCGATAATGAAAAACCACATACCAAAGAAAATTGTCAGTTAATGTGTTGTTATTGCAATGTCGTAAAATCAAATAAAGATGAAGATGTTCAACGTTTAAGAATCAATTTAAGAAATTATGCATTAAAAAATAATTTACCAATGACTTTAGATTCAGTTGAAGCTTATCACATTCTCCGTAATGGAATTACTGGTGGTCTATCAAATGTTCAACATCGTGTTAATCTTAAAGGAATCACGCACATTAATAAACTTTCATATAATCCAGAAACTAAAACTGTATCAAATGAGGACACCACCAACATTATGACTCATTTCGTTGGAGTTGACTTTAATTCATTATATCCTTCATCATTTTCATCTAATCCTCATGATTTCATTCAATATACTGACCATAAAATGTATATGCCGGGAAGATTGAATGGTGTTATCATTTGTGATACAGCAACAAAGAAAGCAAAAGCACTGGGAATAATTAAGAAGAAAAATACTTTATTCGTGGCTGAAGTAAAGGGTCACATTGATGAAAAATACATTAATGATTACATAAACTTTTTACCGATAATAAGAAACTTAGATATTATCACAGATGAAAAAACAATTGGCAGTTTTATGTATAATTACATGAAATCAAACAATCTACCAGTTGACCAGAAACAGGAAATTAACTCAGTTAGCATCAACACACAACCAATATCAACCATTTTCTTCTTATTATCTTTGGTATCTAATAGACAGATTTCATTTTATCATCGATGATATTCAATCAATTTTAACATTTACGAAAAACACTTGTTTTAATGAATTTGCGAACAAATTTATGAACGAAAGACAAAAGGCTGAATTAGAAGGAAATAAAGGAAAAAGTTTATTTTGCAAGATTTCACTTAATGGATCATATGGTTACGATGCAATGAATACACAAAATTACGCAAAGACTAAAATAATGAATGCACAGAAGGCACGCGTTGCATGTATGTCAAATAAGTTTAAAAACATAAGAGAAATAGGTGAAGATACATATCAAGTGATGCTTAAAGATAGATTTTATAGATGTGATACATGTTTACAAGAGGCATTCTTCACTTTAGATAATGCTAAATACTGGTATTTGGTTTTCATTTATGATTTTATGTATAAATGCATGGATGTTAATCGTTTTCATTTCATTGAAGGTGATACTGATTCATCTTATTGGGCAATCGCTGGCGACCCAAATCTTCCTAACACTCAAGCATTTCAAGCAATTGTTACCGATAAACAATTTTATGATAAAAACATTTTCAAATTCGCACCTTTTGATTTCTTCTGTTTTGATGAGAAATTTAAACCTAAATTAAAGAATAAAGCTGAAGAAAAAGCACATGAGAAGAAGTTATTGGGTTTAGCAATTGAGAAACAAGGTGATAACATGGTTGCTTTATGTCCTAAGTGTTATACATCATTCAACGGTTCAATTGATGGAAGTGATTTTAAAAAGATTGCACAAAAAATGAAAGGTGTTAGTTTACGACAAAATAAACAATTAACACCTAAAAATTATTTGGATATAATAAATGATAAATTGATATTTGATGGTCAGAATATTAATTTACAACTTAAAAATGGGTCAATGACTCGCTTAACAATTGGTAAGACTGCATTAACAGGAGCACACACTAAGGCTGTATGTTGTGAAAATGGATGTTGTATGCCATTTATTTAATAAAATACCACAGAAGAGACAAAAGGAACCGTTAATGATGGTTTTGATACTATGATTCAAAGAGGTGGGCACCCTTAAAACATTGATTTTATTTTTATATAAATGAATAACACAGATTTAAAAATTTTAATTGATGATTTAGTATTTAATCAAAATTTTCTTAATTATTATGATTTAAAAGCATATCTCCAAAAATATAATAATAATATAACGGGTGATGATATGGAATATTATTATCCATATTATAAAAATGAAATTTTGAAATATCATAATAAAAATAATTTCTGAAATTAAAGACAAAATTAAAAATAATGAATATATAAAGGGAAAAACTAAATCACAGCTTAAACAGTTGAAAGATTTCAAAAATAAAGTATTAACAGAAGAAGATATTGATGAATTATATAAATTATATAATCCCGAGCCGCAAAAACAAAAGGAACAAAACACCCAGGTCCTTCAGACCATAAATGATGCACAAGCTTTAATTTATGATTCATTAGTTAAACCATATTCAGCCCGACTTTTAAATGAAGATCAACTTTTGGAATTCATCCTTCAACATAAACTCGAAGCGGGAAAGTATATCAAACCTTTATATACAGCATATTTAAAACAAATGAATAAAATACATCCAGAATTAATGAAGGGAGGATTGAATTCCAAAATCAAAGCAGATAAAATTAAACCACTTACAACACCAAAACCTCCAACAGTAGTACCTCCTCCTTCAGTTAATACTTCATCATTCACTTTATTATATCCATTTCAAACATTTAAGAAGCAAAAAGATTTTAAAAAGGATTTCAAGATATTAAATAAACCAATTGACCCGAAAATTCAACCATTAAAGGAAAAATTTAGTCGACCTTCATTTGCTCCATATCCATATTCATACGAAATCGATCATCTGGAATATTCAAAAGGAAACGTTACTTATTTATTTGCCATTAACATTAACACTAGATATTT